TCCGAATCATACTACAATCCGGGACCTCGAACTAAGAGCTCGCCAAGGCCGTTTAGGACGTCAAAGAGCACATCATGCATTTTCAAATTGCAACTTTGGAGCTTTATAACTCGAAAAGTACTTAATGAAAAAACATTTCATTATAGTGTTTTGGAAAGCTCTCGAAATCAACTACAAGAATATGTAATAAAAAATAGAGAATGCCATTAAAAAAAATTGAGGTGACCTTCATGTGACTTTCAAATAATTCTTCAAGGTCAAACCAATGATACCGTCTTATGGTCCCCTCGAAACCAAATAACTTTTGTCTGAAAAATTTTTCTCTCCCGGGCTTGGTTTTCGAAATATTCGACTAGATGGATTAAAATGGTCCACCCTGTATATATATATATACGAATAATTCTATACTCTACACTTGGTGTGGTTTATTTTGATACTACCGCGTACGGTAATATTTAACGATTGTCGAAGTAAATTTAAGCGAAACAAAGAAGAAAAAAACAAAGCAGACAACTCTATGCCTTTTAAGAACGTTGACGAACCTTCGTGCGGTGGTGGTGCTTACGATTCCTCCTCTTTCTCTTCTTTTAGTTTCGTTAGTTGCGAAAGCGAAACCGATGACCCTCGTCGAAGATGTAACGAAGCTAATTATCGACGTCGAAGTGCGCCAGATGTTACTTCGAAGAAAGAATAAAAAGGCAAAAGAAAGAAGCAAACGATAGTAATCGTCGAAATTCGTCACTCGGTCAACAGTGTTTCGATCGAAAAGCCTAACAGAGTCTCCGGTTCGAGTGTAATTTCCGCGTTGAGTCTCTCAAACGGAATTCCTGTCAATTTTATCGTTAATTATTCCCGTCGGCGTGAACGAAGACTCTCATCATCGAATTTAAGATAGAAATATGTCGCGCACACAAACACGCGATGGTTTCACGGAAATTTCGTTTACACATACTAGAATGATTAAGAAGAACGACTAAGAAGAACTGAACTTTAGTAGGACAGTATGTGCTTTCTTCCTTATGCAAAGTAATCATGTAATCGAAGTGTTTCAGGCTGCACAAACTGAAGGAATATCTTCCCGAAATCAATTTAGCTAAGAAGTGTTTTATAAATATGACTTTAATTCGCATTGACTACACTGAGATTAAAATGTAGTAGTTTCAGGAAACGTTTACTCAATTAAGGTTCCCGACTGCTATGACTGTCTTTTTTTAATAACGAAGAAGCGAGAAGACATATGACAAGAATTCTTGATATATTAGTTCTTGATATATTAGATTATACGTTCAGATAAAAAGATACACTCAAAAAGTGACATTTCTGATCAATTCAGCACACTTGTAAAATTGTCCGAACATTTTCCTTTTACTCAAACAATCGATAATAGTCGCAAAACTAACTTGATGTAAAACCTTTCTTTCTAAAACTACTTTTCTCATCATATTGTCAATGTTAATTTTATGACTGTTTATTGATTGTTCGAGTGAAAGAAAAGTGTTCGGACAATTTTTTTAATTTTGATGTGCTGAATCATAAATGCTATTTCGTGGGTACATCTTTTTATTCGAACATATAACGCAAGAATTTTTGGCATGCGTTTTTTTTATTCTGACGTCATTGAACAAGGACAGTCATAGCGAGTAGTCAAGACAATCAAATAGACCTTCAATAAAATAATTTGTTTGAATAAATACTTGCAAATAACATTATATTTACTTGAATTTAATAGTACATATATATATTGATATTAATATATTAAGAACGATGATAAAATCAAAATATATAAATTTTTATTTGATTTTATTCGATTTGTGCAATAAAATTTATGTAATCTTGATACTTAATTCTTTTTACATAATTTCTTTTTATTATTATATACTACTGCCGAAGAACATCTTTTTTAACAATTCATCTGATCATTATGGTTTTTTTAATATTTCCCTTATTTAATTCGACTTTTCTATTTCCAATAATAAAACGCTATAAGTAACTATATACTCGTGAACTTCGAACGTTTTGCAGTATTTCTAATCGTTGCAAATTGGCTTGTGTTCTACATTTTTTTACTTAAATTGATCCTGCGAAGATACTTTTTCACTCATTAAAGTCATGGAACATTCTATATAATAATTAGACTGCCTTTTATAATACTTTGTGTTTCCTATATTATCTTGCAGTGGCGCAACTAGGAAATCGCGGAGGGGGGGGNGGGGGATCTGTAAGTGGACGATTAGAAAAAAAGGAAATTTTGGAAGTCTTAAAAAATTATTTTCTTTCATTCACCAATTCAATTTCATCATCAATTATTTCCTTTTAATATTGAAATAATAATTTATTTCATTAATTAAATTAATATTTTTGAGTGTAATTTCATTCTGTATGCTTCTCTCTCTCTCTCTCTCTCTCTCTCTCTCTCTCTCTCCCTCCCTCCTCCTCTATCTTTCTCTCTCTCTCTCTTGCTCATTAGCTAATCAAAAAAAAATTATTTAGAATTTCGGGGAAGCTGCAGTCCCCACTTGGCTATGCCACTGTTATCTTGCATTTATTTCTTATCCATATTGCATTGCTATATGCTTCGATCGATTGTTTTCGAAGTGGACGGTCTTTGTTGGTTGAAATGTTGCTGAGATTTAATTTGATTTAGCCATTCTAGTGGCAAACTTCGGTTGGAAACGGCGCGTGCGAGAAAATATAGAACAGATGATGATACAGACAGGAGTGCAACGAGCAACAGAAAGCTCCGTCAGATCGCTACGTCAGATTATGTTAACTACGCATCTCCATGTGCCATTCCACGTGCATTTCTATTTACTTATATTATACTATATATTATACGCGCGTCTCTTCGGCACCACGACCGGCTCTCGATAGCTCGATAGCGTTAGATGACTGACCTCCGAATTATAATTACTCTAGCAGCGTGTCGCGATCGTGATCGCGTGCCAGTTCGCCGATCAGCTGCACACACGTATCGATAGTTTAGCAATTATTTATTGTAAAAACAAAAAAAGAACATAAAGAACATAAAGACAAGAAAAAAACAAAAAAAATATTTAGAGAAGCACGCCGATTTGCTGAATGACAAAGAAATGACAAAATGGTCGTTTAGTCATGACTATTTGTGTATGTATGCATACGTAATTGAAAGAAGAAGGAAAAGAGAGAGAGTGAGGAAGAGAGGGAGGGAGGGAGGGAGGGAGCAAGGAAGGGAGGGATGGAGAGAGAGAGAGAGAGAGAGAGAATGAATATCGTATCGAAACTCGCTGTGTGCCTCTTGAGTCTATTCTTCTCCCGTAGAAAGGGAAATGCATAATCTTCGAGTTAAAAAGAGAAGAAGAATAGAGAAAAAAAACCCAGAAACAACACACACACGTACACACACGCGCGCGCGAAAAATCAGACTGTTGCTGGTTCTAGATATATAATGTGCTATTTTAATTACGATAAAACATTGTACTAGTCGGAGTCCGTAGGGCCGCCGATAAGCGTCCTTTTTGTCTGCCTGATGTTTCTACGTGCATGTATGCGCTCGTCGGCGATGAGAAACTCTTTCGGCCTCGGTCCGGAGACGACCGGCGAAGCCAGGGCGCGCGCGATAGAATGTAGCGGCACATGTATGACGCACGGTGAGAACGCGGAGATGTTCGGGAGAGAAAACGGAGAGAATTAAATATGTACAAATGTAATAAAAGTCGAATGACGATTACACTGAGCCGGTTTATTGTCTTTATTCGACGTTAGCCTATCATCCTGATTTACATTCGCATGGCCGGTCGATGTTACATAACGGCGACGGTGGATTTTTTAATTAGTCAGGCGAAAGAACGCGTTCGGCATTCGTCAATAAGATCCGCAGAGCCGTGACGAGAAAGCCCCTTGAATTAAATTACGAATTGTATTCTGCGGCATGTATTAGGTGTACAAATTAATTCGGCGCTTTTTTTTATGAAATTCGAAGTTTATTTACAAAAAGTCAAATGCAAGTTCAACGTTCGAAATAATTTCCATTATTTTCTATGGCTTTATTCCATCTATCAGGCGGCTGATGAATGCCCTCGCGGAAAAAATTTGGCGGTTTTGACTTGATAAAGTCATCAATGCTTTTTCGGACCTCGTCAACTGTTTTTAAAATGCGTAATCCGCCAGATGATGTTAAAGCGAAATAGGTGGTAATCTGATGGGGCTGGATCTGGCGAATGAGCCACATGAGAGAGAATTTCTCAGCCTAATGCACAGATGATGATGATGAGATCCTTCTGCGTATATAATCGCGCGTTATCGCAACAGAATTACTTGCCTAGTTCTATTGCCGATAAAGGGTTTTTTTACAAGTTTTATGAGTCACGGCACTTTCACCCAAAGCGAAACGAATCATCTCAATAGACTGAGCAGCATTTTTATTCAACCAGAGTGCAAAAAGGATGTGGTACCTCGGATGCTTCTTTTCGAACAACATCGTGATAATTACTGTTTTTTGGGATTACGTCGACAAGACCGTCAACTATTGTAGTGCTTCTTAAAGCTTAAGGTTGGCAATTTCAAATCACCATAGCACGGGAAAAAATTTTTAATTTGAACTAGAATTGCAGGCACCGAATTAACTTGTACACCTGATAATTTTAGAAAACTTATTTTCAAATACCTGTTGCGTACAATATTTACGATTGTGCTCGATCAAGCGTGCCGTGTACTCGTATTCTGTAGATACACGTATATTCTGGATTACCACTGTTTGAGTGAATTTTCACTTCGATTATCTCGTACGGCTGCATCGTCCGATTCTGCAATCAATTTTATATTTAACATTTTAACACATATATCGATAATCAACCATTTTGTTGTGACGCGGTTCAGTCGAAAAGCATATTCGCGTGTTGGATTTTGGAATGCTATCAGTATCTAAGGGCACGCGGCTTATTTAAATAGTCCATGCGGAAGAATAATTCAAACTTACATTTGTGCAAATATAAAATCAGTTTCGAGTTAATTCAATCTAAATTATACACCGCAACGGAAAATCAAAAATATTAAAAAAAATGAGCAAACATAATTTTCTGGATGACAATAGTAATGATTGATAAAAGTTTCATCTTTACATTTCTACAAGGTATGTCACAATCACATCATATTAACGCTCATATGCAGGCAAGGCGCATTAAAATAGGTGAGAAAATCCTTTTTTTTGCAATCTCGTTTCACAATCCTCATAACATTTATTAAGAAATTAATTAATTAATATAAAAGAATGAAAGAGAGAGAGAGGAGAGAGAGAGAGAATAAGCGCGAATTAATTTACACTCTGTATACGCGCCATTCTGAGAAATGAGGCTACAATTCTGGAAATGTACATATGCGGCTTCCGTAGCGAAAGAATTCAATTTAGATGACGAATATTTAATTAAAAACAATTGCATGAAATGTTTCACCTGCACTTCGAAGTATTGCAACGGAGGACCAGTATTGTGATATGTGAACTTGCCGAATAAGAAGGGTATTTTGTCTTCCAAATCGGTCTGACCCTGAAAATAGTACAGTAAATGTAATAACATATATACAGCTACAAATAGTGACTTACAAGGGAACAGTCAAAAGTGTCCCTCGCCGATTTTGATAGGCTTTGAATATATCATAGAACATAAAAAAGTATAAGAATCATAGTTTATTATGTGCGTATCTCGACGTTTAAGAAATTACCCCTCGAAAGTAATAGAATTTTTTAATTTCTAACGAATATCTTCTATATTACACTATGAAGTATACAAAATATGATCGTAAACAAAGTTTAATGGATATCTAACGTTTTTTTATTATGGTGTATTCAGATTTTCTAAAAATATCAAACTTTTAAGTTTATTCTCACTTCTCATTATAATTTTCTCAAATTTCATAATTTATATATATATATATATATATATATATATATATATATCCATTAATATATATATATATATATATATATATATATATATATATATATATATATATATATATATATATATATATATATATATATATATATATATATATATATATATATATATATATATATATATATATATATATATATATATATATATATATATATATATATATATATATATATATATATATATATATATATATATATATATATATATATATATATATATATATATATATATATATATATATATATATATATATATATATATATATATATATATATATATATATATATATATATATATATANTGGAATTAGAGATTGCGACACTTTTTTCAATAAGTTTCGTAATGTGTATCCGCATTTAATGTAAGAATTTATTCTTCAATTATTCTGAGAAAATAAATTTTTTTATTAGATACCAGATGCATTCTAAGGTTCATCGGGATAAAAGTGTTGCAACTTTTTTTATTTCAGCAATTATGTGTGCTGCTCTGTGTGTGTGTGTGTGTGTGTGTGTGTGTGTGCACGCGTGTGTGTGCTTAAATGATAAAATTAGGTTGTGTCCCGAAGGAAGACAAACTCACTATAGACAATCCAATATTTTAAATTAATCAGATATTTTAAACATGAGCACACACCCAAACAGAGAAATCTCGAGGTGCGGTGTCGGTCTCACCGGTCGGGGATATCAACGAGGAGATGTGCTCGAGACTGATCCCGGACACGTGTACGTGGCCAAGTAATCGTATCACCACGCTGCCGCTACTGCCTTTGAAGGCCCAGCATTCGCCTGGCAGAACGCCTGTCTGATAAATATTATATATTACGGAGGATTAGTACGATATTAAGATTAAATATAACAGGCAGTATTTGCCTTAGATGATTTCAGATTTATCTAGATAAAGATACGGTGAAAATCCGAAAAATTCATCTTAGATGAGATGAAGATGATTTTGCTTTTAACTTATTTAAATGAAAGCATTTTAAAACATTTCTATCTTTATACGATAAAAAAAATTTTGGTGATATGGGCCAATTTCCCACTTTTCCGAATGATGCAAATGGGTTAATAGATCTGTTTATATTTTGTCGCCACGCTTGCGCATGAACACTTCTCCCACTCTTTCCTATACATCCAATAACTGTTCATCTTCTATCTTTCAGTGTCAGGTTTACTCCCACTTATAGGAAAACTGCTGCGGCAGCCATATAGAAGCATCACATACATGGCCATATGAGACCATAGACGTATAATAACTAGACTGCGCACTCGGCCGAAGAGTCGTTAAATGCTACAGTAAGATAGTTGCTGTACGGGTACCATTCCGACTTCGTCTGATAACGAATGGAGTAGGAATTTCAGCCCCACTATGAAGGCTTCTTTATCTTACTACGCGAAAACGACGGAATGTTATCCGTACAGCAACTATCTCTTTCTATTTTCTGACGTGTTCTAACAAAGGGAGACGTTGAGACCGCGCAGTTATTATATGACTATGCGTGTTATTATATGTCTATGCGTGAGACAAGTGTGTTTTGACTGGCGGTAAATTATTAAAGCAATAGTTTAGCAGTGCAGCTAAAAAGAATAAATCAAAGGAGACAAAACCGAAATTTGTTGATTCGTTGAAATCTAATTTCCAATCCCTAGTTTGATACAGACTTAACGCATAGGTCCATATTATTCCATTCATTTTATCGAAAAGTGAGCTCAGAATATGGACCATAACACTATTTCAGATCATTTTTAATTGAGATAACATGTTTATCTATCTAAGATGAAGGTGAATATATTTAGTATTTCTCCCATCTAGATAAAGGTAAAGATTATCCATTTATTCATCTTGATTATTTAGATAATTTTATCTAGATATCGGCAAACACTGATAACAGATAACCTGTATCACCGCTCGCGGGGTATTCTGTTGCTGACAACGTGGTGTACTGAATAAGTTGAACATGGACGCACCGGTTGAGTATAGTTCGGTATCTCGCGTCGAAAGGATTTCACCGCCTACGGACCGGGGCTTCTCATGAAAATACGTCATAAAGAGGAAACAGAAAGTTGCGCTTATATTCTACTTTTTCACTTGAGTCTAAACTATTCATCTTTATTTTCGAGAGAAAACTTCCGGAGAATGATTCTGGAATTTACAAAAATGTATCGAAATTTACTTGTTATGACTTCTCTTGTAGTGTGTTTCGGGTTAAAAAGAGGTTTTTTCATAAAAAGTTAAGATGTGCCAGAAAAATCTAACGCAAGTTTTCGTGAATCGATTAAAAAGAACAGTTGAAAGGCTACATTTTACGCACAAAATTATTAGCATATTATATGGTTGCTTTTTAAGCACATTCTGTGCAGGAGACGCGTGTATGAGAGAGAGAGAGAGAGAATAAATACAATAAAAATGGACTATAAAATGGAGCAAAACCTGAACTTTCGAGAGCATAATCCGTTCTTCCAGTCTTGTCGGCATCGTACGTCTCCAGTTCATTCTTCACCATATTTTTAATGGTCTCTGATGATAAAACCTTCAGCAAGTTCTTCGTATGCAGACTCATTTCTATTTTATTCATATCTATGGTAAATATTAAAAAGCCGACAAAAGACATGACGTTTGTGAACAGAGGATAAAAATAAAAGGAATAGCAAATAATCATGCGAATGCACGCGAATAATATAAAAAAAAGGCTTTTGCGCTTTGTTACAAGCGAAAGCTCACCGACATACAGTATGTCATTCTATATATTTAACTTTAATAAAATAAAATAAAATAAAATAAATTAAATTAAATTAGAATATTACAGATATTACGGTTATATTACACGTTTATGAATAACATTGAAATATTACAGTAACATTACTGCAATATGTCGCATTTCAAATAGCCGAGTAACTTCAAATGATATTTTAATTATGTCTTATTGACATTAGAGATGTTATATTGAGCAAATTATCTTCTGAAATTCAAATAGAGATATTGAAATGAAGTAACATAATATATGTTTAAATAAAAAATTTAATTAATTAATTAATTTATTGTATTATATGTATATATCGGACACCAGAGAAATGCCACCGTATCGTGACCAAATGTGACTTCCAGTCAACATTTGTAATCTGCACCTTTCTTACCCTCAGACACTTCGTTTCGCAACTCGATAATAGCTTCCGACATTTTTGGGATCATATCATCTACCTCCTTGAATTTGTTTTTCAGCTCGTCGTGCATTTCTATCACATTCCTTATCTCCAGCTAATGTAATTTTGCGCGTGAAAATCACGTGAAAGGCACAAAGATGGTGCGTCAATTGAAGTAACAAATTTAATGTACATTTTAATAAAATTGGGATTCTCATAAATATGCGATAAATGAGAAATTTTAGAAGATATTAGAAAAATATTATTTGTGTGTACGTGATATATATAATTAATATATAATAAAATATAATAAATATAATATAGAAAATATATAATATAATACGTATATAATTTTATCGACAGTAAACTGATACCGAGAGAGTTCCCAGGTGAGCCTTCAGACTTCCCAAGTCTGCCTTGACCACCTTGAACGAAGCACTGGCGGAATATTTATCACAGAGATGGGACACGGACATCGCTAAAAATATTCGTGCTTTTTCACTCGTTAGATATCTCTCTATCGAATCTTATGGATCGAATGAGAAAGAAATCCAGTAAGCGAGAAACATTAAATCAATCTTTCGAAACATTGATTTTATATGAATTTTATGAACATTTTGACATAATATTTTATAAGTATTTTTAATACGTGCGCTGCCAACTATGAGTATACTCATAGTTAGTATATGAGCCTCACAAACTAACTATAAATATGGTCATATGCCAATTATCGACCTCCTATGCCAAGCTCAAGTTAATCCGTAGTATAAGCGCATTAATTTGAACCCCTGGCTTGTGAATAAGGCGACGTTTGGTAGCTTGGTAGAACAAACTATACCCGAGGAGCTTGGCAGCGAATGTGTTAAACTGTTAAAATATTGATAATATAATATTTTATTTCTAAATATTAAAAAGATCATATTGTATAAATATTATTTTCAATGTTTGGGTCAAATATTGTTAACAATGACGTTGTGTACAACATTAAGAACTACATACTTGAAAACGTTACAAAATATTGCAATAATGTTGTGTTAACGATTTCTTGCTTACTGGGGAGGTTCGTTTCATCGAGATCTCACGATTATTTCACAAGGTCGAATTTCCGTACCGAGCATTGACGTGATGACGCAAAAAGCGAAGGGCTTGGCGAATTTCGCGTACCAAGCAGGCCGCTGGTCGCAGGTGAGGGCCGGAAGTGCGTCCGGACAATTCCCCGCATTAACACAACAGAAAGTATTCCGCGCGCTCATTGGCGTCGTCGCATAATAATGTAGCCCGAATGCTTACGAAACACGATAAAACGTGCCGGTAAAAGTCGCTCGGATTAATGCATGCCGGATGCTTCTTACAACAGGGCTACTTTCGTTGGACGTGTCAGAGATTAAGCGACCATCAGTAATTATTGATAGTCCGGATAAGTAATCGATATTAGCAAATAAGTGAAATGCGACAATCGAAATAAACAATCTGTTATACAAAACGTTCAGTAATTTGCGACTGATATATTACTACAACGAGAAAAGTGATAAAAGTAAGTCGAGAAAATGATAAGAGTATTTGCCATCTTTCATTTCAAGCAGTAACTTGTGAAATATGTAGATTTAACTAGTGGCGTAGCTAAAAAAAGTTTTGAGGGAGGGAGGGGGGATGCTGTAAGTAGACGACTAAAAAAAGGGAGATTTGAAAAGTCTCGAAAATTATTATTTTCTTTTATTCATCAATCTGATTTCATCATCCAATCATTTCATTTTAATATTAAAATAATGTTTATTTCATTGATTAAATTAATATTTTTAAGTGTAATTTCATTCCGTACTCTCTCCCTCTCTCTCTCTCTCTCTCTCTCTCTCTCTCTCATTAGCTAATAAAAAGAAAAAAAATTGAGAATTTCGGGATATGACTGATCTAGTATACAATCTTACTACTACGCTGAAATGCAAGAAATATAACATTTCTGAGGTTATAGCGTTATTTTTAAAGTTAGATGTTGGCTGGATATTCTAATAGGCTCGTTTCATCCATATCATACCATTAATCGTGTTTAGAAATTTTTACTTTTCATACATTCAGAATTACATAATCACACGAACGGTGAAAAAGTTTACGCGGAATCGACAAAGCGGAAAGTGAAATTTTTCACATGAAATTATATGAACGATTACACCCAGATGGCCGATCATAAATCTTTTCCCCTAGTATATATACTCGTGAAAAGTTAACGTTTCTATATACTTTTCTATTGGAAAAGTTTCACGAATTCATACTAGAGGAGAAGATTTATGATGATATTGTAACGCTAAACATTTAATTACTTAAGTTTTAGTCTACAATAGATGCTTTAAACTTTAAGCCTTAAAAAATTGAGCAATCACAGTTAATTATTCTCTTTACATTCGACTGTGATTGGTCAATTTCTTAAGACTTAATGTTTAAAATACCTATTGTAGAGCGACACTAAAGCGGGGTCTACAATGAGAATTTAATGCGTAAGATTTAAGAAATTGACTAATTATAATTGGTTTTTCTTCTATAATTCGACTGTGATTGATCAATTTCTTATTTATTAAAGTACCTATTGTAGACCAGGATTAACAGCGCGCTATCCGGCGTATGGTGATGTTAACCGGGACGAGGATCTTCCGGCGTCTAATTATATATAATTTATTAAAATAAATAAGAATATTTTCGGATTAAATTATATAAATTCATGTACACGTCAAGTTGTAAATTATTGATTGAATAAGATACTCCTACAGGATTAGATAGAAAAGCATATGTATGCAGATAGATATTTAATCGTCAAGTAAGATATGAACGTTCTCTCTCTCTCTCTCTCTCTCTCTCTCTCTCTCTCTCTCTCTCTCTCTCTCTCATACACGCACACACACACACACACACACACACACATATATTGTAAAATATAAGTAAGTTTTGTTTCATTATTTCAATTAATTTATATAATAATATATTAAATTATAATAATATATAAAAATTATATATATAAACCTTTATAATATTTAACCCCAGGCTTGACTTTTACAATAATGAATGATCAATTTTCCATCTGTGCCATAACAATCGTACAAATTTTTAACTGTTTGGTCCGGAGAAGGTGCAAATGTCTGATTAACATAGAGAAACTAAAAGAAAAATATATTATTACATTATTATTTTATTATTTTTTTTTCGGTGAATTATTATTGAATTATTATCATTGAAAAAAATTAGAAGGTAACAGTTCGACTACTTACTAATCTCTCATTCGGATCCAACTTGAGATATTTCTTTATAAAGTCCGAGATTCGTCCAATAGGATTTTCCTGGCAGACCGACCATTTCTTCTGCTTCATGATTGGTGCGTTAGCAGTTGCTTTTAGCAATATATCAACTGTTAAATTATATAAATATACAGGTTGTTTCAAGCAAGATGGCTGACAGTATTAGCTGTTAGAAATAGCTGATAGTATTGGCTAGAAATCATATGGGGACTTAACGAGTGTTGCCCTGTGTGCTGTCTACTATTTAAAATGTTATCAACTTTACAATACATTTATTATAATAACAATAATAACAGTAATGATAATATACAACAATAATATAACAATAATAATACCAATTTAAACAGCGAATAGCAAAGTAGGGCAACATTCATCAAATCCCTATACAATTTTTAGTTAACATCATCTCTGAAATTAAGCGTCTTATATCTCTGAGTGGCTGAGATGCTATGAAATGAGAGGAATGAGAGTAGCGGTCGGGAATCCATAGAAAAATGCATACTGGTTACAGGCCTGATTTAGATTAATAAGCTCCATTTGCATATAAACATTCATATATGTGTTGGATATTTTATATATAGGATGTCCCAAGCTAATCTTGATTCCCGTGGTGTACAAGTAGAACAGGTGAAACTGAGCAGAAAAGTCCTATACCATTTTGCAAATAATACACATGATTTCGAGTTATTAATGATTGAAAATGGCTATGTATAGAAGCTTCTTTAATTAATAATTCAACAATTTGCGTGTTATTTGCAAAATGTTAAAAAAAAACTTTTTTGTTCGGAGTGGTTTAATCTACAAATATATGACAATTATTGTACCTAACGACAGACATTAGTATATTGAACTTTGAACCTTAAACTTGTTAGGTACAATAGTTGTCATATACTTGATTACTAGATTAGATTATTTGAAACAATGTTGTCATATACTTGACTACTAGATTAGACTATTCGAAACAAAAAAGTCTGTCTATTTTGCAAATAACATACAAATTGTTGAATTATTAATTAAAGAAGCCTCTATGCATGGCCATTTCAATCATTGATAACATAAAACTTTGCGTGTTATTTGCAAAATGGTATAGGACTTCTGCTCAGTTTCACCCATTCTACTTGCATACCATGGGAACCAAGATTAATTTGGGACATCTTGTATATATAAATAAATAAGATTACTTTTTGCTTTGTCCTTTGGCATAGTTTGAGTCCCATTTCGTATTGCAGTTCCTTCAGGGATGGTCTCCAAACTAGTTGGAACATCTTCAGTTGCTGAATTATCTGGTATATCTTCAGCTTTTGTTTCAGTTGACAGATTGTTTCCTTCTTCTTTGGTGGCCATAGTACAATAGTAATCCTATTATACAATTATATTTAATTATATTCACAGACTACAAATATAAAAGAAACATCTCTTATAGTATCAAATATATTTAAAAATAAAATATAAGATGTTGAATGAATTAGAAATTAAGAGTAAACAATTTTAACAATTATATAATTTTAGGTCTCATATGTTTGACTTTATATAAGAATTTTATAATAAGAATAAAACATTTTGTTTTTGTACACAGAAGAATGTTTCGAGAATTTAAAATTATTGTTTGCTAATACTGAGTGGTTTTAGCAGAAAAATAGTAACCTATTAGTTGGAAAATCTGTTCGACAAGACAAATAGTCTGTCCTTTTTTTAGCTGAACTGATTGTACAAATTCGAGAAATTTACATATGAAAAGAGGACATTTATCATTTTACATAGCAAGTTGTAAACAATTTCGGTAATTATTTAGTTTAGCTACATCAGCACAAATATCGATGAAATTACGCTTATTCGACGCGTTTTTGCACGAAATGAAAGAATTTGGCAGAAAAAGTGTCGCTCTGCCTCGCGAAGTGAGTTAATAATCGTCAAAGTTGATAACTTAATAGGTTAAGAAACCTGTCATACCGATGAAATGTTGCGATATGAACATGCTTCGTGGTATTAAATGATGGTATTAAATAAATATAAGTATTAAATCTTCGCCTTACTAAAGTGTGTGCGATGAGACTGTTTTATACTAAATGAAAACAGTGAAAATTAGAAAAGGCCCCTACGCAAGGTATGTTGTTAACTTATAATTTACTTATTGAAATTTATCTAGCTCACTATCAGAGCGAGTTCTGATTAGCTTCTGCTTCTCTATCAAAATGTGAATTCTCTCTAAAACGGTATTTACAATGAGAATTTAAGCTCTAAGCCTTAAGAAATTGTCCAATCACAGTCGATTATTCTCCTCATATTCGATTCTGATTCGTTAATTTCCTAAGGCTTAAACTTAAAGTACCTATTGGAGACCTGGACTAAGGCCCATATCACACTATAGATTAGGATTAACATTCGATTGAAATTTGACCAATCAGAGCTAGTTTAAATAAATTCATGTTTAATTAAAACTTGCTCTGATTAGTCAAATATCAATCCAATCTCAATTCTAATATAATACAGACTTAAAGTGGGGTCTACAATGAGAATTTAAGCTCCAAGCTAAGAAATTGACCAATCACGATTGATTATTCTTCTAAAATTCGACTATGATTGGTCAATTTCTTATGGCTTGGAGCTTAAAGCACCTATTGTAGACCGGGACTAACGAAATAATTTTTCAGTACTGTCAACACTGCCAGTGTACATCGGAACGCACTCTTTAAAGAACCTACCGCTATAGGTAGTCCCTTTAAAATTTGAATCGTTGTCGGTTACACGTTCGTTGTTACGGCAGTGGAATGTCATGCATCGGTGTGCGTTCAAATAGCGTAAGTACGAACTTTGTAGTAAAAGTAGTGGTAGAAGTATCACGAAAGTGTGAATCGTGTTGTGTTTTGTTCTCTCCATCAGGAGAGGAGATCAGTACTCGTAGGATAAGAAGAAAACTATCGGGAGGAGCAAGTAACTCGTTAAATTTCGCGTCACCTCCGCAAAGACTTCACGTAAGGACAAATGTACGAGAAGTTGAATGAGAGAAGTTCCGAGAGACTTATTCCATTTTCCTCTGTTATAGTTCACCCATCTCTGTTCGATCTGCGATGTCTGACACGGTTAGCGAGAGTGTAAAGTACAAGTGGACGCCCGAGAGTACCGCACTGTTGGTCTCGGTGTGGTCCGACCGGCAGGTGCAAAAACAACTCGAGTATGCCCCGCGGCCGCAGGTGATTTGGGAGAGTGTTGCGAGGTACATGCACAAGAAGGGCTACAATGTCGGAGCCAAGCAGTGCCGGTCGCGCATGAAGCAGGTCTTGGTATGCTACAAGGAAGCCAAGCAGGCGGGAACGCGCTCCAGCTTGGAGCAGTACTACGAGATCATCGACAGGGTGATGAGAAACAAGCGTTTGGAGCAGATCAATGTCAACGGTATAGATACGGTGGGTGAGTAGAATTCTCCAATCGATTCTCCAAAGCGATTCAAGGTAGAGGGCATGAAGAGTGTTTAGAATATTCTAGGTTATTGAGATATCATTGTTCGGGATATCTTGCAGGCAGTGTTATTGTATTCTTTCTCGTATATGTTGTTCTTAAAAATAGACGTGTAAAGCAAACATATTCATGTTATGTGTTATTGCGTCAGATGCAAATATGAAATCACCGCCGAAGGATGTGAAAACGAACAAGAATTTGCAAATGAGATTGAAAGTCCAAGAGCCTGTGCAGTCACTCCATCGAACGGATGCTCTGTCTCCCACATGGATGATAGGATGTAAGAGGATTTATCTTCAGTGTTTGCTGGTATCCAGATAAAATTATCTAAATATTTATCCAGATGAATAAATAGATCGTCTAAATGGAAGAAATATAAAATATATTCATTTTCATTTTAGATAAAGAAAAACAGATTATCTTATCTAAAAATTATCTGAAATGATGTTATGGTTCATATTCTGAATTCATTTTTTGATAAAACGAATGAAATAATATGGACCTATGCATTAAGCCTGTATCAGACTAGGGATTGGAGATTAGATTTCAACGAATCAACAAATTTCGTATTTGTTTCCTTTGGTCTGTTCTTTGTAGTTGCATTGCTGAATCGGTGCAATAAGTTGGGGCGAGACAAAATATATTTGTTTCACTCTAATTTATTACCAGTACCAGTTCAGTAGTGCAACTAAAATCAACATCATTTGTTTCAATTGATCAATCCACTTTAAACCCGTATCAAATTGTCAACTGTGAAAGTCGACCCGACTGCCAATTACGACTGCCAACTCTTAATAGACAAATTACAATAGACTATATGACTCTTCAAGAGTCAACAATCGTAACCGCCTGTCAGATCGGCTTTCACGATTAATAATCTGATATGGGTTGTATAGAAGAAGACTGAAATAATGACTGCGTTAAGAAAACACAGCGATTAGTGAGCAATAAATGATTATTGGTTTTTTTTACTGGATCCTTACATTTAGAGCGATTACGTTGAAAAATTACTTAACCGTTGTGCAATTTTATGACGCGTAGTTTTATTATAAATTTGTATACAGTCTCTCATGAAAACAATATCATTTGAATTTTGAAATTATTAAGATAAGTAGCGCTACTTATCTTTCATCTAGATAAAAGTGAGGTTATCTTCACCTCATCTAAAATGAATTTTTCGGATGTTCAATTCACCTTTATTTAAATGAATCTGAAATCGTCTAAGGCAAACACTGGTTATCTCGCAAATAATTTTATATGTTTAATGCTAAATTCACATTGTTTTTTACTTTGTAGGTGAAAATGAATATCCAGATTCGCCTGAATCAAACGAAACCATAATAGCCAGGCCATATGGAGTTTTCTCACCCACAAGGGATATTGCCTTAAATACTAACAAGCAGCATTTGATCCAGATTGGCAATCAAGCGATACAGACGAATACAATAATAGAGGAACCGATGCAGGAAGATTATCGACAAAACCTGTTGGCTCACTACCCGTACGGAGAGATTCCTTATCAAAACACCGTGCAGAATGTACAGAATCAGATCATCCAGGAGAACATGCAGCAGAATATTCAACAAAATCGCGTGTGGCATCAGCAGTTGCCGCCGCGCAATGTGCCGACGAACGACGTCAGTCTCCAACAGAATGTGTTCAATCATATGAATCGACGCTTGCCGGGCGGCGTGATGACGCAGAGCAACATGATGGTCCAGAATTCTAACGCGGAAAGCGTTGCACGCCAGCAAAATCAACCACAGCAGAGTACGCTACACCTGGACAATCGGGCGATGCCTCAGGAGCCGCGTAAAATTAGTTTTGGACAGAATTTGCTGACAACGGACAGAATACACAAACAATATAGAGACATCGTGCCTCGCTTAGTTTACATGGCAGACGTCGGTAATAAGAACAACGTCGACGCACAGTCGCCGGAATATTCGCCGGACGTGTCGCAAAATCTGAATGATGCTTTCTGCCAGTCGAAAAGCGATGAGAAAGCGCACAATTTGAATGAGACTTACAGCCAGCCCGGCCATCCGATGGACAATCCTATGTCGGTACCCAACACGGACACAACTGTTGTGACGAATAACGCAACGTGCAATGATGACACGCTGTTATTGGAATATTTATTAGATTCGCCAACTCCGTCTGAAAAAATTGGGAAATCGAGAGACAGTGCCGTAAATACGGATAACGTGCCGAATGCGCCGTTTAGGAAGAAGAAGGCGCAGAAATTGGAGCAGCTTGTGCTGAGCGCAATTAATTCTCAGAATGAAGTCGTCAATAAGGTGAGATATATACCTCGCGATACGATCAATGTTTGCTGCTATCTAGATAAAATTATCTAAATAATCATCCAGATGAATAAATAGATGATCTAGATGGGAGAAATACAAAATATCTTTATCTTAAATACAAAACGTGTTATCTCAAAATGATCTGAAATGAGATAATGCTCCTAATTCGGAATTCACTTTTTGATAAAATGAATGAAATAGTATGGACCTGCGTTAAGCCCGTATTAGACTAGAGATTGGAGATTAACGAATCAACAAATTTCGATTTTGTCTCCTTTGGTCTGTTCTTTTTAGTTGCACCGCTGAACTGGTGCGATAAGTTAGAGCGAGACAAAATATCTCAGTGTGACATTTTGTCTCGCTCTAACTTATCGCACCAGTTCAGCGGTGCAACTAAAAAGAACAGACCATTTGTTTCAATTGATCAATCAACTTTAAGCCTGTATCAAACTGTCGACTGTGAGTGAGCTGTCAATTATCATTGGTCTTTTTTGTCAGATTCTTAAGTTTAGAGCGGTTACGTTGATGAATTATTTAACCGTTGTACAATTTTATGATTTACGTAATTTTTATTATAAATTTTTCTCAAGTCTCATGAAAAAAATATCTAAAATATTATCTAGATAAGTGCCGACATTTATCTTTCATCTAAATAAATTAACCCTTTGGCCTATAACCACGAGTCTGACTCGTGATGAAAAATTTGTGCCATAAGCGAAAACCACGAGTCTGACTCGTGGTAAAGAATTTGTGCCATAAACAAAAGCCACGAGTCTGACTCGTGGTAAAGAATTTGTGCCATAAACAAAAGCCACGAGTCAGACTCGTGGTGAGGAATTGGTGCATAAGATGCCGCGTATTATTCGAACAAGCGAATGGAGTTATTCCACATCCAATACTTTTCCTTTGATTGAAAAATCCAACAAGAGCTTGCAAAGTATGTACGAAACATAAGAAAAGGTGTGAAACTACATGGGAATGTAAGAACTGTCGCGTTGCGTTACATGTACCTCAGTGTTTCGAAAGATACCATACAGTTGAAGACTACTAATTTTCATTCAATTAACTAAGTATTCATTTACAAATTGCTATTGATTCATTATCTACTTTGAAATAATAAATTATTTTTGTCAACTGATCATGATTGATTATGATTGCACCCTAGACGTCTTAAAATTACTATTTGTACCTAAACATTGTTTATTATTTCACAATTCCTTTCGTTTCACTGAAATATATATGTCATGAAAGGTATACATTTTGCGCCAGTCGGGTACACGGCTGAACAGTTGAATGGCACGGCGCGCGACCGATTTTCTTGTTTACTATAGCTCGCGCAATTGGCAGATATCGTGTAGGCCAAGGGGTTAAAAGTCTTCATCTAATCTAAGATAAATCTTTCATTTAATCTTCATCTAGATAAATTTGAAATGATCTAAGGCAATCACTGGATGCGATATGTTCTTTTCATTTTTCAATAACTTACTGACATGTTCCATTTTTCCTCTCTTGTTTTTCGTTATTAGATGTAGATTATCCGATTTATTAATGTAAAGCGTAACGTCTTTCTCATGATTTTTCCGATATTCCAGATTTTGGCCGCGCAGAACGACATGGTGACGCGATTCCTCGACGTGGACAGAGATCGGCAAAACAGACTCGAGATCAGGCTGGATCACTTGTTGAACGTTGTTCACGCCACGGTACTCAGCAAAAACGAGAAGGCGACACAGCCTTGTAAGGAGACATCACCGTCGCGCTCGCCGTCGCCTCCCGCGATAACTTCCCTGCATCCGCCGCCGAAGCCCGGAATGGTGCCGCCCAAGTTAGACCTGGTCCCGCCGAAGCCCTGTCGCATTCCGTGCACGATACCGAGCTCGAACGTCGAGCTGATCAATCACAACCCCATCTCGACCAGGCCTGGCGTCGTCTCCCCGATCACCGCCAATCATCCGGTCAACCCAAAGCCCGGCACGATCTGGTCGAAACTGGGCCCGGTGTCTCAGTCGCCTTTCGTGAAGGCCCAGCAACGGCTCGGTCTTCAAACCATCTCCACTAATAACGACGCTCGCATGCAATCCTCGGCGGAGAGACGCATCGTCAGAGAATTAGGCAGACAGAACGTGGACGCGCGAAGTTTGATCCGCGAAACCATCGAGCTGTTGGAGGCGGAGCGGCAGCTGGAAGAGAGAATCGAGAACGCGCGGCTGGAGACGGCGATGATCCTCGGCGCGCGCCGACGGCTGTTCACGCGGCGCGAACCCACTCCCATCGTGGTACTGACCGCGGCGTTCCTCGACGCCGAATGCCGCGCCTGCGGCGAACTGGACCCGCCCTATCACGGGGAGAAGCTGAGGAGGGACGAGGGCTACGAACGCATGCATCACTTGAACACCGCTCGACGCGATTACCTGGATTCCTGCGAGCCGTGCGACTCCTCAACGCCGATCAAGTTGCCGTCGCGCAATCCCGACGAAGCCCCGAAGCAAACCATCCAACAACTGGCGCGACTCGTGATGAATAGCGCGAGATGGCGAGATCCGTGTATCCGGCAACTCGATTCAGCTTATCCGATGAAAGCATCATCGACTGAGCGGAAAGAAGAGAATAACGAGTATAACGCGACATTTACAGCCCCCAAAGCGAACGCACCGCCTCCGGTAGAAAACCCGGAAGAGAAAGCGCGAGTGTTCGCGAAAAGTTGCGATGTAATGCAACGAAGACAAGGTAGTGACGATGAAGCAGCGTCATTGAAGAATGATCCGCACGGCCGGACGAAATTTCCCATGGGCTTCACCACCGCCATGCTGATCGAACAGGAAGGCGTATCGAAGCGAACCAACAAGAGCGAAGCGATGGGATTCGTCGTCGACGATCTGCAAACCAAGCGTAGAAGTAACGTCCGCTTCTCGGATGATGCCGATGCGTACGCTACGCGTCAGGCTGTGGGCATCGGTGACATATCGTTGGCGATAACGGGCGGTCACAACAACGGTGCGATCACTCGCAACATGATACAGCGGTATGTAAGCGATCTGATAATGGCGAAGAAACCGGCGCACGATAGTAGTAATGTAGATTCGGACAACGACGAGGAGTTCCTCGACACTACCGCCACTATGCATCCGATCTGCGTGATATCCCGTCAGGGTTCGATTACGTCGAGCGGTACGGCATCGATCGACGGCACCGTTCGCTCCTCGAAGCCGAATAAAATGGCACGCTCCTGTGGAATAAGTTAAGGTCTGTTCAAAGGTAATAATCAAACAGACTGGTGCCTTTAATTTTTAACGATGTTTAACGTCCTACTTTTATTTTCTTCTTCTTTTGTACTGTCATTCTTGAAAACTTACGAAGAAAATGTCTTCATCATTTTCGATTCAAACTCTGTGCAGAAATGTTGTCGATCAAGTCGATAATATATTCTGCAAGTTACAGTCCCTATCTTTATGTTGAAAAAAATGGCAGTATAATAATAACGTGCAGGGTATTCCAAAAATCTGGAAACAATTAAATATTTCAACGAACAATGTATTTTAGAAAAAAATGTTTCGGTCAAAAGTTTTAAGGTTTTGAAAAGCGCTTTCAGTGGCGGTATGAGCATGGGTGGCGTTAGCAAGATCAGACCAATGTCAACCTAATGTTTTTTCAATGGAAACCACTATGTTTTATTATATCATCTTGTTCTACTAAGTAATTTGAACAAGTTTTGTCTGAAACATTTCTTTCTAAAATGTATCGTTTATTCGAAATATTCGACCGTTTCTGAGACACTCTGCATGGGAAGGTTATTAAACTGCCCCTTTTTTTTTTCAACGTAAAGACAGCGACTGTAACTTGCAGAATATGTTGTTGACTTCACCCACATTTCTGCGTGAAGTTTGAATCGAAAACGATGAAACAGCTGAGGCCCTTGTCAGTAAAGTAACAGCTAATTGTTGTAAAATAAGTCAAGAACGGAAAAGTTTTCTGCAAAAGTAGCAGATCAAGTCTTCCACTGACGTCTTCTGGCTAATCTATCTTTAGTCTCTATATTCAACAGTCTCATCTCTATTTTACGTTCTTACGTACTTATGTATGATGCGGTCACCGATCAACTCTTTGCTACGACTTTGCCTTCCATATACCGGATGTCTCAGGTCAATTAATTTTTCATTAACTATTGTGAATTTTGCAAAATGGTACATGATTTTTTTTTATTCACTTCATTTGCTCTCACAAACTTCGTTCATGTTGATTTGAGACATCCTGTGTGTGTGGGCGCGCGCACGCGCTTTTTAAATTTTTAACTTACAAAATTGCAACTCTCCCTAATAACTGTTTAATCGCGCCGTCTTTTTTCCACTTATATTATTTTTCGATCAGAGATCTGTAGTTTAATGATCGTGGAACGAACGATTGCAAATGTTTAAGTTAACAATTAAAACTTTTAATTGTATAGTGGTGAACAGAAAGGTTGCAACATATTTTTTTATCTCTCAGTTATTCTCGGGAGATACATTCTCCTCCTTAGATACAAAACTTATCGAGAAAAAGTGTCGCATCTTTTCTGTCTACCGCTGTTCATGAGTTGAAACACGTAGTGTTTAAATATACGAATTATACGTGTAATCGAGTATACGTTTAGTATACGATTAATGAAATCTGTTAGCGATACGGTCTAAAGTTCTTATTGGGGATGAACTGATTTATGGGAACAAATTTTACAAATACAGCATCTATATTGTTAAAGTGTCAATTATACAATTGAATCGTTCGATTATTTTTGTATATTCTTAAAATAATACGTATTCCGTAGAAAAATGTTACATATATAGTTGATTTTCGAATTAAGCATATAGCAGAATAGTATTTGCTAAGAAGTTCTATTATCTGTTTATCTATTATTTGCATCACTTGGATTTTATTATATAATATTTGTTATGGAAACATTATTTGCATTTTTTTAATATTACAATTGTTACGTGAGAGCAATCTCATATTTTTATAATAAACGAAATTACAAATATGAACTTCTGTATTCTGCAACTTACGTGTTTGTCGCAAGAAAAAAGTTATATATTCAATTTATATAGTAGAAATTATGTTATTTGTAATAATAGAGAATATATTATTTGAAGTATATAAGGAGATTAAGAAGACTCCTCGTTTTTACTTCGTTTCTAATGTATCAATCAACAAATATTATTTGTAAACAAGTGCCTTTTTATTTTATTATCAATAAAAAGGTTCCAAAAATATAAAAATTGACAATGACGTTTCAGTCTATATAGTAGGAATACATATATATAGCGTACACAAAAAATGGTTTAGATATTTATAATATAATAATAGAAAAATATAATATTTTATCCGCCTAAATTAAATTTGAGAAAATTTTAGAAAATTAAATTGTAGAAAAGAAGACTTTGTTTAACATATTTTATTTTATTAAAGAAATAATACTATTTAGTATATTTTATTTTAGGATAATTTAATTAAAAATTATATAACATTTTTCCATGGTTCTTTTCGCTCGTTACAAGGTTTTTCGCGGAATCGAAACAAAGAATTATATTTACAAACATTGGCAAACGTATGAGTTTAGGTTACACGTTAACATTTAGGTGTTCCGTCAACCGAGCAGGAATACGCAGACTCCGTATACATTCCAGCCAACAAGTAATCTTATCGATGCTGAAATTGCGTTCAGGTCGCGGACATTGATGACGTGTCGTGTCAGTTGTGTGTAGAACACGCCCGGTTGAAGTATCGAAAACTTACTTGCTTTCAAGGTAGGTGTATGACAGTGTTTTATATAAATAAGAACCGATATGCTTTACTACGCATAAATTATATATTTTTGTTATCCGTTGTAAATTTATTTCAAATTTATCCGTTTTATTATTGATCGGAAAAATAATCCAGATAGACAGAAATGCTGAGCACATAGCAATGCAAATATTTAACATATACTTTGTGAGATGGAACTGCAACAGTGTAATATGTTTTAAATATGCTTGATTTTAATCAAAAATAAATAATTCTAATCAAAGTATCCGGCTTCTTATTATTGCAATAATTGCAGACTAATTGCGTTCTCTTTCGGACAAAATGAGCAATATTTATGGCATTAGAATATTGCCGTAATATTGCTGCAATGTTCATGTCATCAGATGATTTTTTTACGTACTGACAAGATACTTGTACGAGCATCTTCATATACTTATGCCAGTGATGATGCAGACCGAATATGTCACAAATAACAACAGCGTTGCAAATTAAAAAAAATATATAGCAAAATAAATTTAGGATAGCTGAATGTTATAAGAAACCACGCAAATCGTATTGTAGATAACTATCATCTGTCTCTATTTTTCTATTGTTATAAACGTGTTATGTATTAATATACATTGCTTTTTCTAATAATGGTAATCCAGACCTCTTACAAAAAAAGTATTACTGTCCATAATAAATTGGCCAGTAATAAATTACTGTTGCGCAGTAATTTTATTATTCGTACGAGTAATAATCTGTTTGTATAATATGGCGGCCTCTGTCGCGATAATAAAAACATTTATTTTCCTATTAATTATCAATTATTCAGTTCCTTTAATAAATCTGTTTATACTTTGCCGCGCATTATCGAACACTCCTCCCGCTCTTTCCTATACAGCCAGTAACCGTCTTCTATTATTTAGTGTTGGGCTCACTTCTATTTATAGGAAATGTGCTGCGTTAGCCTCGGTCTACAATAGATGTTTTGAGCCTTAAAGAATTGACCAATCACAGTTGATTATTCTCTTCATACTCAACTGTGATTGCTCAATTTCTTCAAGCTTAAAACACCTATTGTAGACCGAGACTTAAGTGGGATTTACATTGAGAATTTAAGCTCTAAGCCTTAAATTCTTATTGTAGACCTCGCTTTAGCCATATAGCAGTATTACATATATGATCGACTTGAAGAACGACCGGTCTGTCAGTTTAACGGTGACTAGAGTGCGAAAAGGTGTCAAACGACGATAGTTATAATTCACCGTCTGCAATATTGCCGATCAGGTGAATAAATTCATTCGTCTTTTCCGACCTCTCTGCTTGCTAAATTAAACAGATTTATTGATAAAATGATATTATTATTAATTTCTTTTTGTTTTGCTTGCTTGTGTATTTCGTGAAATAATTAACCTATTGAAAATAACAAAGCGTGTAACATGACAGGAGACGATAGTACGACACAATCATTTCCCTCCTTCGAACTACATAAAAACAACAGTGATGCGCATTCCTTTTCTGGAACTGATTTGACTTAACTTGATTTTAATTTAAGTTTTATAGCTTGTAGTACCTGCTGTGCGTACGATAATAGCACGTGGTGCGCACTCTCGCGATTTAGTTCATGCGTGAATCACACAGGGAGGATCCCAATTGACATATATGTAAAGCCAGCGACACACGATGCTAATTTTCATGCTGGATTGCTTGCTGGGTAGAAATGCTGCGTTTTGATTGGTACATTTCCAAAAATAGATGACAATACATCAATCAAAACGCAGTATTTCCATCCAGCAAACAATCCAGCACGAAAATAAGCATCGTATGTCGTTGGCTTAATATTACTATATTGCTAATTGACCTGTGCTGCTTATTAAGAGAACCGAAGGACGATATCTGATGTGTGTATTTTGATCGTAGCGCGCAAACGCGGCGATCAGATGATGATATGCACAGAGTATCCCAAACTAATCTTAGTTTCCGTGGTCTGTAAGTAGAACGGGTGAAACTAAATAGAAAAGTCTTATATCATTTTGTAACATAACACGTAATTTCGAGTTATCAATGATCGAATCATTTATAAAGGTCATTTATAGAGGCGTCTTTAACCGTTTGAATGCCAAACGCGATCACGTTGTTCAGATTTCTTGTCGAAAAGTGAAACGCGATGTAGAATTGACACGCGCTCGAACTAAATAACAATATAGTAAATAACAATTCTTTTTTGTCTTCATTTTCAATTATAATATACAGGGTATCCCAAACTAATATCATGTATATATATTTATTTTTTTATATACATATATATATTATATATTTTTTTGGGGGGGGACATTCCATATATATATATACACATATATATACACATATATATACACATATGCTGAAATATATTTTATTTTTCTATTGGCGGAGACCGTCAATCCGACGCACACGCATTACGTTGACAAAACATTCAGAAAAAGAGGAAAATACGTATTTCTAATCGTGATTCTGAGACTCTCCCCTCCTCTCACTCTCTCTCTCTTTCTCTTTTACGTATCAATGTACTAATATTACATATAGGCCAATTGATCACGTTATAATCATTGAACTCAATAACATATTGGAATGAACAACGGCGTGGTGAGGGCCGTGGCCTATTTAAGAGACTGCGAAAAACGCCACGTCTAACTCTCGTTCTACCAATTGCGGTAAACCTAATTGACCGATTAACCCAACTCAATTGACCAATCACATGGATCAGTCAGCTAATTGGACAGTACGATTGGTCAATTACGTTGAATTAATCGGTCGGTTAAGTTAATTGAAGTTGATGGAATCCATAGAGATATAAGAATAGAGGGAACAAGCCTATAAGTGGAAGTCATAGAGGCAAAGAGAGAGATGGATGCCGAGTGTCCTATCTGTCTCTTTCTAGTCACGCGCTGGGATTGGCTGCCGCGCCAACGACGATGTAGCTATACATTTTTCTCNGGAATCAGAGGTATAGAACATAGACATTTAATAATTAGACTACGCATTCAGCCGAAGAATTGTCAAATATTAGAAAGAGATAGTTGTTGTACGGGTATCATTCTGTCTTCGTCTGATAATGTATGGAGTGGGGATTTCAGCCCCACTATGAAAGGGTTCTTTGTCCCACTACACGTCTTTAGAAAAAGATGGAATGATACCCGTAGAGCAACTATTTCTTTCTACTTCCTAACTTGTTTAAACAAAAGAAGATGTTGAAACCGTGCGGTCTAGTTATTGTACATCTATGGGGGTAAATATTTCTCTCTCTGTCTTACTAACATACTATATAGTCTATATAGGTAAGACAAGAAAAATGGAAACATAAATGGACAAAGACGGAAATACCATTTAAATACTTTCTCTCTCTCTCTCGGCATGAGGCAGAATCCGGCAGAAACAAAGGCAGTGCTCTTTCCAGTACGTTCTTTAGTTCAATGGTTGCAATTGATCACCTCCAACCAAAACCATCCGTGACCTGGTGATTTTCTAGTGTCGTCCAATCTATGCAGCCTGCGATCGATAGAGATGTGGTCGATTGAGTCCCATCCGACTAGAGTTGGGCGATACATAAGAAAAATCGGGTTTCCCCCCGGAAAAATAAAGTTTTCCTCCGCAAATTGCGGAGGATATATATAATAATATTATTTTCTAAATATTATTAGAGGTGGACACATAACCATTTATTAATATTCCAGAAATATTACTTAGTATTCAATAATATTACATGCTTATAGGCTTTATTTAACACATTTATTGAGCAGAGTCAAGCCTTCTGGTGAGAAAAATTTTTATTTTCACATTCATCAGTACCCCTGTTACAATAAGAATACCTCTATTTTTATATGAATAATAGTCTCAAACAGCCTTGTGTATGTATTCTAATAATTATCTGAGAACAACTGAGGACGCAGAAGACATGCGAGTACTCACATGTTTTGCACACAAGCAACGTTCCTAAAGGGATGCTATAACCGTCGATGAATATGATAAGCGTCGATAACGTAAAAACATTCCTCGAAATATTATGTTACATAAACACTGGCACGATCACACTTCTCTATACTCAATAATTATTCTTGAATATTTTATTGTTTCAACTCGTTCTATCTTAGTCTCGTCCAAACATTTTAATGTACACAATTCCTTTCAGCTTTTTCTTATGCTTTTAACTATCGTACACTTTGTTTTTCTTGTATTTGTTTTTAATTTATTTTTAGATTTATTTTCAACTTATTTCCTAATTTTTTCACAATTTTGCTAATAATAGTTCTCTCTATTTCAAACCGTTTTCGAGGAAAACATAGTGAATATTTTATTACACTCACCTTGTAGATCTAAATGAACGAAATCCTGAGGTGAAGTGTAATCTTTTGTAAATAATGTTTAACCTTATCCCCTTGTGTATTGAATATCAAGTATGCTTTTTTATGCTACGAGAAATCATTCAGCGCATAAATGGATGAGCATCTACCTTGAGATACGAGTAAAATACACCTACACAGACGTCGTTGATCCATATCATTTGTGGAAATTGGAGAGAAAGGAAAGTGTTAGTACGCGTCCACGAATTCCACCTTGCACTTGGAAACTGGTTTTCCAGAACTGGTTTCTCCTATCTTATCTGTTACCTCGCAGGGAAGATCCCACAGCTATTAGAATTTTTCTACTAATTTTACTTTTATATCGAACATAAGCTTGACTTAAATACGCTTGTTTGAAAAAGTACGAAAAAAGATCAATTACAAATTGTGATATAAAAGACATTTCTCGGGTGCTATTTTACATCAATTTTTTTTTAATAAGAAAAATGTAAGGAAGCTTATATTTAAATACAATTACGTAATATATTAATTGCTATTTTTACATATAATCCTTTTTTTACCATATGTATATATATATATATATATATATATAAAATAATATAATAAGAGAATGTTATATATATATATATATATATAATTCTCTTAATTAGAATATCTTTATGTACAGTGAAGATCTTCGTGTTTAGTAAAACTTTGTTATGTTAATCAAAATAGTTTAATAAATATATATGATAATATGAACATATCACAATATATTTTGTCAAGTACAGCATCAATCCGTTCGAGAAAATCATTCTTTTTCTTATATTTGTATTTTGTGATACTTTTAATTTTATATAATATTTAATGTAACGATTTTAATATAACACAATGAAATAAAATAATATCTTATTAAGAATTCGTGGAACAAATGCTACAAATTTTAAAAATAATATCTTGTTAATCTAGTTATTTAAATAAATCTTTCTACAATATAAATTATGAAAAATTTTTATTATCGCTACTATGTTTATTCGATAACCTCCTAACAATAATAACATTGTTATTGTGCGTAATTACGCAGATATTATATATTATAATATTAATGTAATACATATTATATATTATATATACATAATATATGTTATATATTATGAGACGCATCAGTCCGTGCATAACTTCACGCGTTTGCACGTAGCGAAGTAGGTAGACAACCCGTTGTACTGTTCTGTATATAAGTGCAACATCCTTTACAACTTCAGCGTTACCCTCACTTTGGTCGGAATTCACAATCAGACTTTATATTTCAGATTGTCTTAATAGCCTCTATGGCCTTTTAAGTTTCTGTGCGGTGATTTCATTGGATGAATAGAATTTTAGATGGACCTTGCGATGATCTTAACAAATATAAGACCTGACTAAGAAGGTCCTACTCTTATAGAAAAAGAACATTCACGAAAACATTCAAAAAGACACTAAAAATAGAATTCAACAGAACACTCAATTTGAAGACTCTTATTTCGAACACTCAATTTGAGAATGATACGCAACTTGAATGTAACCCTAAACTTGAATGTTGATTTTAGCGTTAACCATAACTTGAGAATTACTTGCAACGTTATTCTCAACTTTAGAATTAATTTTCAGCGTTACTCTTAAAAGAAAGTTATATATAAATATAAATTATATATATATATATATATATA